CCTGTTAAGCCCGGTTTCCCGGGCGCAACATCTTGCAAGAAACAGCATCGCAGGGCTTCTTAACATTTAACAACCTATTAATGATGCATACCCACTTAACGGGAAAAAACTCAGCTAACTGACGATATTAACCATTTTTACCAAAACGAAACTCAAGTCTAACGTCAAGCTCTAAATCAGCACTTAGCGAAAACGGGCAAACGGGGCTGACGCACAAAAAAGCGATCTTTTCTACTTCATATTATCTGCACAATCGCCATATCATATGAAAGCTGATATTCCACAGATTCCATATGTATACGTCTCATCACTGTACGACCAAAACTCACTGAACTAGAAGAAGAAACGTAACCTTAAATTAAAAATAAAACATTCACAAACTAAGGATTATCTAAATACATGTTTAACTCCATTACAGTTGCAGAACTCACCAGATCTCAAGTCTTCTGTTCTTTGTTGACGTCCCGATGCTCATATTTAACGTGTAGATGTAAAACGATCCCAATATTAATCCATAAACTCCTGCATTAGACCTACAGACAGCTGTAGCTCCGCAGGAGACCCGCTCAAACTGACGTGGATGTTTCAAATGTGAATGACAGGCACGGACAGTTCTCATTGGCAGGTTTCTTCGATGATTTTTATATTAACCAATCAGGAGTGTTGTGGACTCATTCCAATCATGCCTGACTTGTCTGCCGTGTTTTGGCTGAATTCTATTTCAAGTGCCGTAGCTGTTGGCCAGAGACCCGAAAACCATACATTATACGTAAGACAATAAGGCGTATTACTGTATATTGACAAATGGAGAAAAAAAAACACAGCAACATAACACATAAATAAAACAAGGATAACTGTGACTTATTGTAAATAACAGTGTTTTTCAAACCTTGGTCCTCCCTAAAGAGATTTCTCCACTTTCTATGATTTAATTTTTTTTAAATGATAGTCAACTGTAGATGTTTACAATATAGTAAGTTAGGAATTTCATGAAAAACTATTTATTTACTTTATTTATTTTGTGTTTGTCGTGGATTCAATCGAATATTGAAAAAATGATTTATGTAAAAAAAAATTACTTACTTTTTCAGTTTTATGTTTACCTTAAAATTACAAAGAAATATCTTAAAGTCTTATAATGTTATTACACTTTTATATTACGAGTTACATATTTAATTACAGATAATATTTTTAATTTACGTATACATCTGCATATATTTTCTGAAAGTGCAAAAATACTGTAAATATTATATAGTACATTTACTTTAAAAAAAAAAAATGAAATAAATGTTATTTGTTGTTATTGTCAAAATACTTAAAATAATGTTTTGGGTTGTTAATTTATAGTTCATATCTGTAATTTTACAGGATTTACAGGAAGTTATTTAAAAAAACATGATAATTACTATAAAAAATGTGTTATTTCCTGTAAAATTAGGATCTTTTTTTACAGTGTATAGAATGTCTCCAAATCTTCCAGACGGCTTGAGTAGTAGGCTGCAGGACACACGCCGGTTAGAATAGTCTATTCTGCACATGTGCAATGCTGCACAATGCAAATGTTACAGTAATGGGTTGTGCTATTACAGATGATTTTGAGTGCAGTGCTTTACTATGAAATAATAGTTAAAGTGGACCTATCATCCTATATTTGAAAAATATATTGTAGGGCCATCCATCCATCCATCTTCTCCCGCTTATCCGTGGTCGGGTCGCGGGGGTAGCAGTTCCAGCAGAGAGCCCCAAACTTTCTTTTCCCTGGCGACATCAACCAGCTCTGACTGGGGGATCCCAAGGTGCTCCCAGGCCAGAGAAGAGATATAATCCCTCCACCTGGTCCTAGGTCTACCCCTTGGTCTCTTCCCAGCTGGACGTGCCTGGAACACCTCCCTAGTCAGGCCCCCAGGTGGCATCCTAACTAGGTGCCCGAACCACCTCAACTGGCTCCTTTCGACGCGAAGGAGGAGCCGTTCAACTCCGAATCCCTCCCGGATGACCGAACTTCTCACCTTATCCCTAAGGGAGACGCCAGCCACCCTCCGGAGAAAACCCATCTCGGCCGCTTGTATCCGCAATCTCGTTATTTCGGTCATGACAATGTAGGGCCATACCTATAATGTCTGTGATTTTTTTTTTTCAAAATACCAAACAGATCCCCCATTGTAGCCATGCCTCTTACTGCTCAAACACCGCTTTTGCAGCCCTGTTAGAGAAACGCAGATTTTGGGTCCTTAGCTTGAAAAAAAAAAGAGGAGGCGGAGCTAATGCCTGATCAGAATTCTACCGGAGATAAAGTTAAATTCTGCTGTGATAAAACGCCATCCTGTTCTAAAGTACATCAAGGATTATTTCTGAAACTGTATGGAGCTCAAATGCCTTTTCTCTAGCGGGTTTACCCCAAGGTGATTTCTTTTTTTTATTTCTTGCTTTTTAAACACATGTGCCTCCAGTACAGGTTAGCTCTGAGTGTTAGCGAGAATTGCTAATGTAAACAAAGACGAGATTACGTCCAAAACACGTCAGGCATTGTTTCTGATAGCAACTTTCTGTGGGTCCGCTGCCGATTTGACGTCAGATCGGATGGACACGTCACAGCGGATGGAAATCTGGATCAGCTCCGTTGTACCCCCGTTTTTAGAGATTTGGGTACGGAGGAAAAGAGAGAGGGTTTTATTTTCTGACGCTACGTGAGTTCCCCGACACACCGGGGACACATATTGATGTATAAAAGACATCACAAAGTGCATTTTGCATGATAGGTCCCCTTTAAATGATGTGATATACAATATTACTGTAGTTGTATAGATATTTTGTTGTGATATTACAGGGGCTTTTGATTACAATATTTCTCTGTAATATGATACTCTTAAATGCTGTGAAATCCTTGCAATGTTTACAATGTTGTTGTGCTATTGCAAAATGTGATGTGATATTACAGAGGATTTTGATTGCAGTATTTTATTGTGAAATAATAGTTAAATGCTGTGAAATCCAAGGATACAGTCCTTTTTACATGCATTTGTTGGGATATTACAGGGGGCCTTGATTACAATATGTTACTGTAAAATAATACTGTTAAATGTTCTGAAATGCTGGTACATTTGTACAGTGTGGTGTTAATAATTGGAATGTTTCACTGCAGCTAAACACAAGCAAAACTACTGAAGGTGAGTGTTCAGTGTGATTGTTTTACCCTGTGTGGCTGTGGCCATCAGGTGATCAAATGACTTGTGTTTCTGTAAGTTACCTTACGTTAAGCAATATTGCATGATGCAACAAATATGATCTGAGTAAATGACTTATTTGTATGTAATATATTGGCTTATTTATTTTTGTTTGATGCAATGGGTAAAATAGTCTTGCTATAGGCCTGTTTTAAGGATTAAAATAACAGCTGAAGCACAGTATTTAGTTATTTAATCTGTCACTTCTGTCTTTGTTTATCACAAGGTTTATAGTGGTTGGCCTGATCGATGTGTTCTCCATGTCTGCAGTTACATCACGTTTATTTAGCTAACTCCTCTATCCAAAGATACTTCCAATGATTTGTCTTATTTCACATAAAAAAAGTGTCCTTTTAAAAAAAGTATTAATATTATTTGTAATCTTTCAATCTTTAGTTATAGGTGGAATACATTACACAAATAATTGTTAATGTTAAAAACTTGGTTACGGTTTTGTATACATTACGTTTGTAGCTCACTCTCTCTGTAGCAGAGTGTGTTCACTGCACAGAACACCATTTAACAGACAGATTAGATAATTGTGTTCATCCTTTATCAAACCATGTGTGTTTACTGAGGTTAAATGTAATGACATGCTGTTCAAACTGAATGAAACTGTGCATGCCGTGGAAGATTTCTATCTTTTTAATGTTTTCCTTTTATAGTTTTTGGACATAATGTGCAGACTTTTGACATTTTATTGTGAAACTGTAAGGTTTTATAGATGCTGTTACTCACTCTGACTCATTCCTTCACTGAGTCACTCATTCACTAATACTAGAAAAAGGAAAGGGGAGGGTGCAATTTCACAGTTCAAAGGTTTTTCATGTTAACTCCTTTTATGAATAGCTTTAGTGTAACCGTGCAAATTAAAATCCTACACACATTTAATTGTTTTATTTATTTTAAATATAATAATAATATTGCAATATACTTTGAGTCGAACAATTTAAATGCAAAATGTTGTGCCTAAACACTGAGATATATCGTCTACAATAAAGAAAACAGATACAATGTACTTTATATATATCCTAAATTGGGTTGTTTATTTGTTTGTTGCAGTGGCATGTTATCATGCATTACTAATGAACTAAAGAATATAATCAAATAAAAATGAAAATTGAATAAAAAATAAATTAAAAACACTTAGGCCTACAATAGAATAAAAGATTATTGAAGCAAAGAAGAGAATAATTAGGTAATAATAATACAATAATAATAAGTGGTATTATATCACTTTTCCTGATGCTCAAATAAAGAAAATAACAACTAAATAAATCAAAAAGTCCTAAACCAAGTGGAAGAGGGAGAGGAAGGGGTTATTTGATGTGTGTGTGTGTGTGTGTGTGTGTGTGTGTGTGTGTGTGTGTGTGTGTGTGTGTGTGTGTGTGTGTGTGTGTGTGTGTGTGTGTGTGTGTGTGTGTGTGTGTGTGTGTGTGTGAGTGAGAGAGAGACAGAGAGAGAGAGAGAAAGTGAGAGTGAGAGAGAGAGAGAGAGAGAGAGGGGGTGCTGAACAGAACAAGAGCTCCTTCAAAGTAAAATAGTAAACGTTATGAGTTGCATGTCTACTGAAATCACTTATTATATATATTATTATAACGTGGAATAAAGTCACACTCGATGCACACAAGGTCTGGTTCTGATCCGGATCTGTTTACACTCGCAGAAGTGGTTTTGGGGTGAACCTCTTCTTCACACTCTGCTCGTCAGAGGGCGGCTCTTTGACGGTTTCACGCATCGTTGTAAAGGCTTAATGCCCTCCCTCCGCCGCTGCGAGCCCTCAGTGTCTGGATCTAAGCTGTAGATAGATGGGCTAGATGCCACACACCAGTCAGCGAGAGGTTGCAAAGGCTCAGAGTTTGATTCCTCCGTTTTTCTTATTTTTCTTCTTCTTCTTCTTCTTCTTCTAATTCTTCTTGGGGCTTTTTTCTCCTCTGCTTGGATACCACTGACTTAGGCATTGGATATGTGCACACAGGATGATGACAACCCCTTTCCTCCCCGTAGAAGTAAAATAAAATAGGCTTTCGCACACACTGGATTTACTCCTGTCGTTCCATATGAAGAAGCCAAAAGTAAGTGATTGTTTACTCTTTGTTGTTTTCTTTACTTTGAGAAAATACATGGCTCGCGCTGAGGCATGACGCACGGACACGTTGCTGCGAGTCATCAAACTCAATCAGACAAACGAGTACTTGAACTTCACCTGTTTAAGCTTTTCTTTAATTCATATCGTGCACTTTAATAAGTCACCGTTTGGGTTTAAATATCTGCATTCAAGGGACAGCGATCTTCCTTTCTCTCTCGGCGTTGCTTAATTGCCGAGCCAAGTTGTTAAGCATGCTTTCCCACTATATATTTTAGAGTTTTCCCAAAACAACCCACCTGTCCGGAGTTTATTCAGCGTGTCCACGTCTTCTTTTTTCGTTGGAAGCTCCTAATGCCTCTCCGATCAATAAGTATGTGTGTATTAACGACGCCAGTCTGAGAGCCGGTTGCAACTTGCGTAACTGTATTTATTCTTCAAATTATTGCATTTTATAATCGTGAGACAGGAAGATTTCCAGCTTTTTACCTGCTGAGCATCAATATGGACATCTCCAAGAAGATATAATGTATGCACATTTCCAGGCTGCCACAAACTATCATTTGTATATTAAGCTAGCTATAATATGAGGTCAGGGTGTCCGTTTTTTTTAGTCTTTCTTAATATACTTCTGTTTGTATCGGTGGAACTCGTATTTATCCATGAATAGATCATCATCCTCCGGTTCTGGCTCCTCTGAGAGCCTCTGAAGGGTCAGACTAGGCTCTGACTGCAAGCTGTGACTCCATAATCTCTGTCCTCTGACCTAGCTGTTCTTAAACTGTACAAATTGAAGACTAAAGACTTTACTTTACAACAATTCTACTTGACAGCAGCTGTGATTTGTGGCGTAGGTACGCATGGAAGGTTTGATCCTTAATCCACACCAGCCGAGTGGTCACCTTAAATTAAGGGCAGCCGATTTATACTGGTGGGAGAAAACCCCAGATTTGAGGTGAAAACAGACTTTTCTTTATTTAAGCAACATTGTACATGTAGGCTTTAATGTGCGCCAACTAAATGTAGGCCGGTTTAACCTGCATTACATCCCCCGGGCTGTTTGACCAAACCCTGCAGGTTTCTGCCTAATCCCTGCCTCACTCTGAATGACAATTTAAGCTCCTTGAAATGATTTAACCGGATGAAAAAATATAAGGGCATGAAACATATTAATACTGATTTGACAGGGTGTGTGTGTGGGAATGGAAGTCTTTGATGTTTCCTGGAGGAAGGGTGGGCATTTCTGCATCCCTGCCGGTGTTAATCATCCTCCGAGCAGACTTTCCTTTATGCTTTCATAATGAAATTATAGCGTGAGCAGCGCCTGCAGGCTCCATTAATTGACACCTTTCATCTGTAATTTGCTGTCTGTGCCACACTGTCACTGTCATGGATTCACGTGCGGAAAATGCATAGGGAACTTGTACTGATTTATTTAGTAAATCCATAGTGGCACAGAGAGTAAAACAGTATGTTTATGGTGATAAGATGATGGGAATATCTCTGTTATTTGTAATAAGGTTTTGATCTGCTCTAATTAAGATCATTTTAAAGCTGTACATTTTTTAGGAAAGTCCAAATTCTCTGTATCTTGTTTCTTAAATGTGAGGCGTTCCGGTTTCCTTACGCAGTATAATGAAGGTGTTTAAATTGTGGGCAAAACAAGATATTTGAGGAGAACATTTTAAGCTTTTGGAAATCTACAAAATGAAACAAGCTGTGTGTGTGTGTGTGTGTGTGTGTGTGTGTGTGTGTGTGTGTGTGTGTGTGTGTGTGTGTGTGTGTGTGTGTGTGTGTGTGTGTGCGTGCGTGCGTGTGTGTGGGGGGGGGGAGAGAAAGTGGGAAGTATGTCTATAGACCTTCACACCTTCACAGAACATGTGTGACACCAGTAGGGAGAGCTGGTTTTCTAAAGCCTGCTCAGTTTGGAAAGACGAGTCAATCAGGTCTCTGCTGGGTAACTTTGTTTTTTTTCAGCAAACATCGTGTCTGTGGCCTCCTCCTCCTAAACAGAGACAACGAGGTGTATGTTGCCACTGATCTCTCTGATGATATATAGCTCGTTGGCTCATCCAGGAGAAGTGACACACGGCAGGTGAAAGGCAGCTTATGCACCAGGATGAGGCACACACACATGTGGTCCATCCAGAGGAGCCATCCTCTAACACAGGCTGTAAATCCACAGGCCAACTTTTAATAGGCTCGTTTTGCTTCTGCTTTATCGTCGTGGTCTATTACCTCGCATGCAACATGAGAATCCCCAGGAGTAAACTAGACCCCTCCAGGGAACCTTCATAGTTTCAAATGTAAAAGACGCAAGTAGGAGAAGAGCATAAGGCAAAGCATGCATATGTCTCATACAGGAGGTGGGCGTTGTGGCACGGAGCGAGTCGATCACTTCCAGTACTCACACCTGCATGAATCAAATTAACCCAATTTGATTATAAAAACAAGATTTGGTGTCGTCGTATAATTTTGTTCTGTAGCTTTTGCTGTTTTGTCTGAAGTGTACATCTTGCTGTTGTATCATCCTACGACTGTTGAGAATAAACATGTTAAATATTAAGAAATGTATAGACAAAGAAGATATTGATTACCTTGGTCCAGTGGAAACATCCCAGGTTCAGTTTCGGCCTCGGTACCACTTCTCTTTCAAATACCTCCCACATTGGGAGGTACATTTATAAATTGACTGAGGGGTGGGACATATGGGGAAAATAATCAAATTCAAACATTTTGAATCCAAATATCTTAATAAAATTGTTGCCACAACATTGTCGGGTTGACTGTTCTCAAAAGGTATTCAAATATGATAATGTTGGTAGATGATCATCAGCAATGTGATCATAATGAGTAAGTGGCAAAAGCCAAATAATACAACAGATGGAGTTCAGAAAATGTACTTTTGCTTTACTGTAAACGAGGAAAATAAACATATATATATAAATCTATTCTCATAATATCAATATATTCTCCTTGAAAAGCCTTAAATCTGCAAATCCAGCCTCAGGGTGATGATATTTGTTAGTAGTTTAAAGTAATCAGCTGCAGGAAAGCTTCCTCTAAATAGGATATACTAAAAAATGGTGTATGTCTCTTTGCGATAGGTGCATTTCCCTGTGATCAGTTATTAATCACTGTCTCATTTCTATGCAGATATATGAGTAGCTCGCCTCGGTGATGAATGCTCTTTTGTCACTGCTGCATATCAAATGGACCCTATGACTCATGATTTAGTCACAAGATCACGTCTGGCTGCACATCTTTCTCGTTAAATGAGATTTAACACTGCCCCAACACTTTCCTAGAGATTCCTCTTAAACGTTGTTGTTCACATTCAGGTGATGTTATGTGCATGTACGTGTTTTTATGGCCGTATCATTACAAAACACTAATGGATGACTGTTCTTCCGCTAGACCAATTAAACCTCTAGCTGTCCTGTAATTAAAATGTCCACTTAATGTTCTGAAAGTTCGAACAATGTACTCATTGATCTGCTCATCAGAAATGCTGCAGTACACTATATAACAAAGGACGTGTTGGGGTTGTTGACGTTCAGTAATATTGATCATGAGTCACATGTCATTGGTACAACTAAACTCATTTGGTTTGGCTTTGAGATAATGCGTTCTTGGAAGGCTGAATACATGAAGTATTAGCTCACATATTCATTTGATATTGTACAGGTGGTAGCTCAGAGTCTCAAACAAATACTAAACCTCCAACAGCAATAAAAACAAGACGAAATACATAACAAAACAAGGTTTCAGCACTAATGGAATAAGCCAATGGCGATGTTTTAGATCCAAAGCCTGCACAGAATTAAGAGGCCCCTGTCCTTTGCACTCCAAGGCTCTGGCTTTACCATCCAGGTCCAAACAGGAGAAACTCAATACTTGGAAGAAAGCAAGCCTTTTTTCGGGACACTTGTGTTTTATGAAATTGAAAAAGAATGAAAGTCCTAACAAAATGTACTTTTTCAAAATCAGTTAGATACTAAAGAAGAGGACTAAATGTCAGGAGTGTTCAAGGAGTTGATAAAGACCCAATTTAAAGCTACATTTTGTTTCAATAGTCCCGGAAAATGCAGTCTTTCCCAATGTCTTTCGTTATTTTGCGGTAAAGCTTTGTCTTTGCACAGACTTTTTTTTAAGACCGTTAAAGCATGCAGTATCCACAAAACCAACAAAGGGAACATTTGGTTTAAAGGATTTTTTCTTCCTGTCACACATCCCAGACCTCGTGCCCTGAGCATTTCATGTTTTTCTTGGAATAGATGTTCACTGTTGCAGATCCAGGGGAAAAGACAGTCTGCAGTCATTGTGCCCACGCCCAGTCTAACTTCAGTATTCGGGGCCTTTTCATCTTGACGTGCAAGCTTGAAATTAACTGTTGGATCGGATCAAGGATTTATTATGTTGTGGCTAGTGTCATGTGAATGCGAACATCAGTGGGGGAAATCACTGTCACAAGGACGCAGAACTCGACCGGAGCCAGGATGATGGGTCTGTTCTGTGGGCTGAAGGCAAGTGTGAAGCAGAAATCACAGCGATACATTTATCAGAGGCAATTAACAGCACTTCACACAACAACCACACATTTGGTCTCCTCTGAACTCCAAGTGTCAAACATTTCCCCATTTGCTACTCATTATGATTATGTAACGTTACATTTGGAGCAAATCAGGATTTTTTTTCTCTTCTTTTGTGATTCATGAACGTCTTAAAATCTCTTTATTATTTCATTTTGACAGTAATATTGCTGTATGTAGTAAATACTGAGCAAGGAAGATAATTTATTATAACCAAAATCCAACCACCATGACTTTCTGGTTTTCTCTTTTTTGTGTCATTTTAAATGTAATAGCAATGGGTTTTAGTTTGTCTGAGTGTGGGATATAGGAAATTGCAATGATTACTTTTAAAGAAGAAATCATTAATCAGTTGCGTAATTCAATAATTATAGTTGTTGTGCTGCTCCAGTATGGC